GTGCTCATAGCCCATAAAATAACCCCAGAAAAGCAGAGCGGGCACTGTAAAAAAATCAAGCAGAATACAGGCGACAGTAAAATGAAGAGCAGCTTCCTACATATACAGTACATCACTACATCGGACTGAAAGGAACATGCCACATCCCTGCTACCATATCCTCCTCTGACAGAACTACATTTGCCAGATGTCTGACCTCTTTCGAGCCTTTTATCTACAGCTGTGGACTGAGCATTCTTCACTCACACAGTGGTTTAATTACCAGAAAATAGTGAGACTAAGAGCAAACACCCTGATTAACTGAGAGCGTGCTCATGCTCAGAATTAGGAGCCTAGAACCCGTAAGGGAAGCAGTCCAGTTTTATTATTGCCAGATAACCCAGAAAACCAAACCCTCCTTATCATCTTGGTGCTATCAAAGGAAGGGGCTCTGTAATTAACATAGCAGGCTACATCATACCATGGGTGTCTTTTAAGCACAATATGAGTCGCATAAACTGATAAACTACAGAATATGGAATTTAGTTGTAGTTGGCAGTGCCATATTGGATTATAGACGAAAGGCCTATGTTGGATCAACTTTGATGACACCAAGCACTGAAATGTTAGAAAACGGCAGAACTAAGGTTGTGCACCATCAGTTCGCTCCTAGCTTGAGTGTAGCATCGGTACAGTCCTTGTTTCTGTAACAAAGCACTTTGGCCAACCCCTCTGTGTCTTCCACGCACAGAAAGGACATTTCTCACACAGTAAGGAGCTTTCCAATGCTTTGTTTTATTCTCATTATTTGGTATAAAAATGCTTGTGTCCTTTACTGGGCACAGCTAAAAACTTGCATTGAAGGCAAAAATTTGTACAGCCCTCTTCAGCCTGTACAGCCTGATATTCGTGTTTTACACACATAAATGTGTTAATTCTGTATGACGCTTACGGGATCCAGGCAGTTATTTTGTTCACAAATTGAGAATACCCGGAGTACGGTACCTGGGGTTTGACATTTTAATGTCCACTGCATTTTATATTGCTTTATATTTAAAGTGTGTTTCCTACTGAGTTAACAGCTGTAGGTGTGGGTGTTTATCAGTTCTGGAAATCAGAGCTTAGGATCTCATGTCACGCAGAAAATGAGGAACACACAGAACTGAGAACACTAAAAGTCAGCCTTTTATTCTCCCCTCCCTGCAGCCCCTGACTCAATTTCTATCTATCTGCAATTTTTGCAATCAATGGGACAGAGTCCTATTTATTAAACTGCCCCTTTCTCAGCAGAACAGGTCCTTCCTTCACACTGAACATGGATCCCATGGAAAATAGTAATTTAAAGTCATTACAGACTGTATTATAAGGTATAAAAATATAAGGAGAAAAATACGTTTTCACAGATGACCTTAATTTTGACATTTCTTAAATGTTGAGGGCTTTACTTTGCTCTCTTTAACTACTGTGTTTTTAAAAAAAACTGAGTAGTAGTTTTCATGAAGAACCTGCATTTTGATAGTTGGCCAGTTTTAATAATTTCAATCTCTATCTATGTATTAAAGCCTTTTTTTCCTACAGTATATTTCTGTGGGTCCCTATATATTTATTATATAGTAAAACTACTATGATAAAAACATATAACAATTTAAAAGTAATTAAAATATCTGAAAAGTCTAATCTATTCATTTTTCCTAATTAACTCCTCTTCCTGGAAGACAACCAATACCAATATTAATAATACAAAAGGCAGATGCCATGTGAATACTTGAGGGAATTATATGGAGAAACTTAATGTGGTAGTAAAGGAACCACTGCTGAACAGGTATCAGCAAAGGAGGAAAAAACCCAATGTGTAAATGCACCAACTGTAAATTTGAGCTAATCATCTACTCCAAAGGATCATTCAATATCATTAAAAATGAAAGTGTTTTTAAAGCCAAATGTTCAAGCAATTAAGTGCCTGAATCCTGACTACATTTTCATAATAACAGGATCAAGTATAGCATATGGAAATTTAAAAGGAAAGGAAACACACTTAACATATGCAATCCATCCTGAACGAAATGCATATGGCACAATGCCTCAAGTCCTACTCATAGCTGAGATCAAACAAGAAATCCATAAATAACACAAATTCACATACCTAATGAAACTACACCTTGGGCATACTAATATCCTAGTATACACACCGACCTTCTGCCACTGTCCCCTGGCAAAATAAAATCTCTCTGGCATGGTCAGCGTATAAATTCCAGCCAAATGTGAGTGAAACATGGGCAGTATAGGCAAAAATACAGATAAAACACAGTACTTTAATATTTTCAAGCAATAATATTCATTGTCCTGGCTGTTAGTTGTAGTGACAATTTTGTAGAGACAAGAAGTCTCTGCCTAACCCAGGTATTTGGTGTTCAAGTGTCCTGGTTTGGTTAAGAAAGCCCTTGAAAAAAGAATCTCACCAAACACCACAACAAGAATCTCCTGCATGTTTTCTTGACTTGGCTTTTCCTATGGACAGAGGATTTCCCCTGTATGCCCTCTCACTCCAACTGAAATCTTGGAAATGAATCCATTCCAAATAGTGTAGCACTGAGTACTCAACAGGAAGGTTACATGGTCCATCCTTTGCAACTGCATCAGGCCACATAGGCATCAGGACACACAGTGGCCTCCTGTACCTCCCAGTACAGGAGAGCATGTTGCGCGTGTACGAGCCACAGAGTGCAAATCCCTATGTCCTTTTAACCAAGAAAAGATGGTGTCCTTACCCTGGGGGCACTATTCCTGGCAATTCTTCCTGATCTCTCCAAGCAAGTGGCAGAAGAAACCTGTTGAGATGGCTGAGCTACTTCCTTCAATCCCTCCCTCCCTCCCAGAAAGGCAGAAAGGGCTAGGAGGACTGACTTCAATGATTTTTTTCTACCAGGCTGCCTTGCCTCAAAACTGAGGAAACGGTAAAGCTCACACTCCTTTATGGCACAGAATTTTGAATTAATTTATCTATAATAACAGTATTGCTTATAATTAATTAATAATTTGTTATAACTATTAACAGAACCTATTAGTACTATGCCCCTAAAAGTGCCAGACCAACAATATTCTTGAAATCCTGTTTGGAAAGACAAGCTTCTGTCTTTCCTACAAAAATCACAACAATGGGGAAAGCACACTCTTGCCACAGGTAAATGCCCTTTCAGATTCCACTAGCATTTTGCAGTTAATTAGTCAACCTTTTTGAGTCCTTACCAGTCCAGCCACATTTAGCTGAACATATCTGGTACTACCAGTGCTGGTCATGTGGGTTGGAAGGGACATCTGTAGGTCACCTAGTCTGACCTCCTGATCAGGAGGTGGCTCACCAACCAGCTCAGTCACATGATTAATATCTCCAAGGATGGGTATTTCACAACCTCTCTGCACACCTGTACCTGTACCCAAAACTGGACACAGCACCTCAGATGTGGCCTCACAAGTGCCAGATAGAGGGGAAGAACCACTTCCCTTTTTCTGCAAAGCTTCTCCCTAAGCAGTCATCCTACTCCTGTCATGTTGCACAAGGCTTTTCTCTCCTTCTGCATTTGCTTTAGTTGAACTTCACAGCATTCCTGTCAACCCATTTCCACATGCTGGCCAGGTGTCTCTTAGCAGCAGTGCTGCCCTTTAGCGTATGGGTCGCTCTCCACGGTTTGTTATTTTCAGCAAACCTGAAATATGCTGTAAGCACCCACTTTTAGTATTTGCAGGAAGGGAGAAAACTGCTGAACAAAGACCTGGCTTCACTCTGGTTATCGGCTCGCTAGCGTAGTTCGGGGCAGCAATATTAGTCTATATCCTTAGCCTGAAGTGAAACAGGCCAGCTACCACTGAGAACGGAAAAATGGTAGTTTTGGAGTGCCTGGGGCAAAGAAGCTTGCACTCTCAAATATATTTAGGTGAATAATCACATTTTTTCTTGGCTTTCTTACAGTAGTATTACAAACCATTTTTTCCAGCAGACTTTAAAATTACCTCTCCTTTAAAAAAATTATACCTACGTGTCTTTTCAAATAAAATAGCAACAATTTGAATGCTAACTTAAACTTAATTTGTGTTAATTTTTCTTAGAATGAAATATGGTGCATCATTTTCATTACTGTGGGATTATTATTCTTCTATACTTTGGAAAAGAGAAAGTATAATGAATAAACTATTATCAGGGAGTATTTTTCATATTACATGTAGTTGCCTACCTTGAAGAATGTTTGACCAAGCCAGATGTACTAAAAAACAATTAAAATGCATTTGAAAACTTTAAAGAACACAGCGAGAAACTGCATAGCATACAAAGTAATAGTTGGAAGGAAACACTTGAACGCAGATTGAGGAAACCTATGTCAATCTTCCTGATAAGTGATTCATGGCAGAAATTAAGCAAGACGCCTGCTCAAACACCATTTGATGCTTTAAAATTGAGAGTCCTTACTCAGAAAAAGTCTCACATTTGAACGAAAGGGATTAAAAAATCCCCTCTGTGATTCATGACTATATTTTTCTGTTGGGAATAACATGAACAACAGTGGTGCCTATCACATGGTCAATATTATTTGAAACACGAGGACATGAAAGTCTATGTTTTATCTCTGAACAATACACCTTACCTAGGATGATGACTATGCCTAGCACAATTCAAACCTAATTATTGTCTTACTCATAATGAAACATCACACCATCCTGTTTCACTGGAGTTTCTGTGAAGAAAATGGGGAGAAGCTATGTGCTATGTCTAAGCAACATTGAAAGCCCAGCCTGCAGAGCAGCTGTCAGGACAGCACACTCCCTCTCTGCTCACACTGACTGCAGACAGATTCCCCTCAAGGGGAGTTTCAGTACCTTTAGACTCACCAGTAGGTATGCTGGACTGCTTTTCATTCTCTACAAGTAAATTTTAAGAAAATGCCTAGAATGTTTTGTGACGATTTTGTTAGTCCTTATATCTATGTTCAAAATGAAAGCAGACTTAAAAACCAAAAGATGAAACTTACAAAAGACATCTCCTCTAAGGCTTTGCTCATGGTCTATCTGATTCTCAAAATCTTCTTTCTCCTCTTCCTCTGATTCTTCTGCCTCCTCTTCTGTAGTAGCTTCAGTTTCTTTCTCTTCCTCCGCGTTGCTCCCACCAAGATCAATACCACCTTCATAGTCAAATAATTGCAGGTGGGTCTTAGAAGCTGGTGTCACAGCTGCTTCTGGGATCACATTCTTGATTGTTTCATGCTTTTTCATGCTGTTTTTATGTGCAAGAAGTTTCTTAATTTTGTCCTTAGCTGCTCCAGTGATTCTTGGAATTTCCTTCACTGACTTTTCAGGGATAACTAGAACCAAGAAGAAGATAGATATTCAACTAAGGAATCATTCAGCAATCACAACATTCATAAATGGCACCATGTTGTCCTTTAAAATGTCCAGAGACCTATACAGCCAAATTCTCTACCATGAGACATAAATTCAGCACTGCACAGAACTGACTACGCATGCACTAGTGACACATTTAGCTGTGTTGTACAGACAACCCATCTGAGAACACCAAATCCTCCTGCAATTCCAAGGTGGCCTAGAACATAAACATAACATTTTCTGAGATTTTTACATTTTATGATTCTTCTTGGCTACAAAGTACTAAAAAGATAACCATCCTTGTGGTATCTTGCAACTTTGGATTCTGCTCAGAAACACAAAGGCTGCCAGAAGTGAAAAACTGGGGCAGCCAGTGGGTGGGGTAAAAGTCAACCGAGATTGTTCAAATCTGTAAAACAAAAGAAAAAAATCTGAACTTGGGTTTTTCTCTATTATGAAGTATAATTATGAAGTATAATGAAGTCAAATAACCTCTGTATCTAGGCAAAAACTTCAAAACATTAATTGGTTAAAGGACATTTTTACATTTACATGGCAGCCCTGACTTTCAAATCATGCTTTCCTTGTCAATGTATTGAGTTGCAAGACACAAGCCTTTTATTTCTTTTTAAATTCAAGTTTTTTCTCTCTCTACAATCATCAAACTATGTTTGGACACTTGAATGAGGAACACATTTCATAGGAACTCATTTGAAGATATATTTCTAGGCATGTGGGGAGGCAGGACGGATTTTCCACCAGGGCTAGGACCCAGCAGCAGCACAAAGGGCTGCTTTGAGACAGTCTGTTGGCCAGCTGCCCTCCATGTTCTTTTAAGGCAGGAAACTTACCAGTTTACATGAAATTAGGAGGGATTTTAGTTACAAACTATGAAAAACTTGTTTACTATCCTTGCTCTAGTACAGGAGAACACAGAGGCAAGCCAATTTGATCATTTGAATTGTAGCACTAGAAGCTTTAAAAAACTGCTAGGCTACCATCTGTCACCAATGTGGTGGATGCGATCTGCCTCAGAACAAAAGAACAGCCTAACTGATCTTTTGTAGACCCTTCCAGATGTACTTTTCTGTCATCTGACAATGACTGATGGCTCTTTGTGCTGATGGCCAAATCATAACGGAGGGTTAAAGCTTGGACTACTTTGGATCAGTTTGTTCAAGTTATGTTCACAGTACAAAGTAAATTCAAAGGAGAAATTAGAGCAATACTGCAGGTATTGCTTTTTATCAGCAACATCCATTGCTGCTCAATATGAGTCGATAAACACCACTGTGCCAAAATTAGGACTGGAAGGGTTTTCCTGACAAAGATGCAAGTTTTAGAGAAGATATAAATCTTAGGAGTTCTGGTTTATAAGATGGTCCCATCACACCATAAAGCATTTCACTAGAGTTAACCAAGTCCCCACCTGTCATAGTACCAGAGATACTAAGGAAGAGATGGCCTTGGGGGTTAAAAGTCAGTGGCAATGGACTTTGAGGCTTGAGACAATGGGTGGTGAAGCACTGGAACAGGTTGCCCAGAGAAACTGTGGATGCTCCATCCCTGGGAGTGTTCAAGGCCAGGCTGGATGAGGCTTTGAGCAACCTGGTCTAGTGGAAGGTGTCCCTGCCCATGGCAGGGGGGGTGGAACTAGATGGTCTTTAAGGTCCCTTCCAACCCAAACCACTCTATGATTCTATGATCAATGCAGGATTTCATGACTGCTATGGCATGACCAGTCAGTATGCAATTATACACTCAGCCCTCTAGTGTTTGCCACAGCTTGAATCTGTGGGTTAGGAAGAACGGGTAAATAGGATAGCACAACCATGTCACAAGGTACTGACAGCCTTCTGCAGTTTGAGTCCTTTATGTGCAGTATCTAGGAAATAATGAGAGCTGGGCAGTTCCAGTGCTGTACAAAAGCTCTTCCACAGATGGAGACAATTTCCCCCAGTAGGTCAGAACAGCCTTATATACTGCTTCCCATCTTCAGTTCTCTATCAGTATTGATGCTGCAATGCCTACAGTCTTTTTGGATTGCAAAGGGTGGGGGCAGTCAGCTATTTTTATTTCCCTCTGCTTTTGCTGTATAGTGATTGCATTATCAGTGCAAGAATATGTTCCTATTTTTCTCCTCACTCTGTAATAATAAAAAATTTATAGTAGTATTTTGGGACAGATGGACCGGACTTGTAACCTTGGGTAGTACTTTTTTTCTCTGTGTTTCTTTTATAGAAGCATAGCAGAAGAAAAAACAGCAGTTAATAAAATAGAACAATAGTCCAGTAGGAAAATGGGAAAGTTCCCTGAATTTATATTCACTCCTGGAAAACACAATCCTACCACTGTGAATTTGTCACATTTTATTTATGGCAAATGCAACTAGATGCTATTTCATATCCCAGGAACAGAATCAGACTTTTGGTCTGTACACTGGAGCATTCAGGGTTTTTGAGGTTGCAGTTAGATGTATGAAGTCAATGGACGCCAATTAAAAAATAAATCAAAATTGAGGGGGTTGTTTTTCTTTTCCTTTGGATAAAACTTGCTTGACAGATACTTGCAAGTAAACTTATACTTCACTAAGTGAGCCTTTCCTCTGGAGGATGATGTCATGAAGGATGTAATATTCTCTGAGTCTAAACTCAGAATGCAGCAATAAACATTATCAGGAAAGCTTCATTCCAAACAAATCTCCTCTTGACAATCATTAACAAGAAACTTTAGGCTGTTTAAATAAAGAGGATATGGAGATTTTCAAGCCAGGACTGGCTGCTCAGCAAACCTGAACATCTGCTTTTAGCTTCTGCTTTTAAGTTTTCCTAGTGAAATGAAAAATTCTTACAGTTCAGCATAATAACCTCTGTGGTGTCAGAAAACCAATCTCCTCATATGTGTAAAACTAAGCGGTGCAGAAAATCAACTGACAGGAGTGGCAAAAATACGGGGATGGAAGTGTATAAATCCCCACATGCTTGCAGGCACCAGATTGCTGCTGCAATGAAAATCTCCATGCTCATGGGGACTAGACATGAAGCACATTTTAGGATATATCACTAGTGTCCCGCTAATGTCCTTCTAATCTGCAGTCAGCTTTAGAGTAGCCTGAGGTGTGGATTTAAGGCTTTTCATGGCTACCCATAAAATGCAGTAGGAATAATCCTGTGTAAGGACAGACCACCTTAAACTCAGTCTGTTTTGTTGAATCCACTGCCTAGGGGCTTGCCTGTATGAACAGCTCTCCTCCTATGACAATCTGGGGGCCTACCACTGAAGCAGTGATTTTTGAGGACCTTCGCCCAAGACATTTATAGAAATGCACAGGAGATGCTCACAAACATTTGTATTTGTGCATTTATCCCTTCCTGTGACTGCATAGAGAATTTTGGAAAGTGGAGTGCATTGCATCCCATCTCTTCTTGCACCTTCCATCAGAAAGCATGTAGATTAATGCCTCCTGCTCTTATACAGTTCCTATTTATTGCCCTAGGATGAAAATATCTCAGCTTTCAAAGGTGTTTATTTCTTTGAATTAGAGAGATTTAAAGCAAGAAGTGGAAAAACAAAGGCAAATGGGAGATGAGGGCTAAAAGTAAATCTTTTCTGTCATCAGTTGCTGCGCAAGATTATAAGAAGACAGAAACGGCTTGAGGTAGGATGTCTAATGACCAAGTTGTGGAAGTTGAGTTGGAAAAAATATAGAGAGCACAGATGCCAACCCCCCGTCTCTGTGATATATTGTGAAAAGGAAAATACTCTGGGGATGATACAGGAGAGGGACAGACAGTGATCTGTTCTCCTCCTACACGTCCTGTGACTGCAGTCAGCGCTGGCTGGGGTTCTGAATATAAGGGGGCAGCAATATGAGGTAGCTGGCTCTGCACCCAGCAGAGCATCCCCTTGCTTCCACCTTCACACTTAGCAACGCATTTTAAAACCTGGCGAGAAACAAACCTAGGAGATCGGCTTACAAGTCCTTTTGTAGCTTCTGCATATAAAAACTGGGAAGGGGATGGGAGATACTGTCAACCATTTACCATGTTTAAGGGGAACCTGTAGATGTGAGTAAAGTTTAGCTCAGCAGGACACAGTTTCAGAAATCAATCTAAAAATTCCTCAACCTCATAATGAAGGGTTTAAATTTAGAGAGTCTTAAGAGAGTCTGAAAGCTTTCATAGGTAAGTTAAAACACAGATTCTAGACTATTATTCTCTTTTAAGTACCATGGAATATCATCTAGTGATATATACTTCTAGCCTGTTTAATTTCTAAAATTCTTACCATCTTATTTGGGAAGGATGCTTTGAGAAATCAGGGCAAGTTCATCATGCTGGACTGGGCTTAATACAAGACTAAACCAACCAGCAGTGCTTCCAGTAGGAAATGTGGGATTACAAAAGCCTAAGTGTTACTCACTGAAGGATGACAGCAGTATCTGGTTCCATACTGTAGTGAATCGTAAGAATCTCACCAGTGGTATGACCAGAATCGCTTTTTAAGCTTTGAAATTTTATGTTGTTCAACCCAACTCAGAACTGGCACGTTAATAAGAAAGCAAAACCATATATGGGTTTTAGGGGTTACTCTATGAGCAATAAGGGAACCCGAGTAATACAAAAGGGACAGAGTTTTGTCATGACTCTGGATTGCCATTTGGATATCCAGCAAAGTGGAATGGAGAACAGTAACCAGCTGGGCAATAACAAGAGTGCCATTGTTGAGCTCCTTAGAGTGACACATGAAGGTTGCAGGCTTTAAGTTAGCAATAATTTTTCCTGTTATTTTGTAGTTTCCTATGAAAAAAGTGAATAAAAAATAGGTTTATTTCCCCCCCAGGAATCTTAATTGCTTATGGAACGTTGTGAGAACCTATTCTTCAATAACAGCTGGAATACACAGACAAACATGTGGTGTGGGAAATGTGATCTTCCAATGCACAACAGGAAATCAGGAAACGCATGAACCTGAGAACAGCAACAGATTGCAGCAAGATAGAGGCCAGATGTGGAAATGGCTAGGACCCTTTTAGGGAGCATTTGAAAGGTTACACCTCTATGGATTCTCAAATAAAATGTATGCTAGAGACAGTTCAGAATGTTTCACGCATATTGGAGTGCTGAGCAGCAAAAGGGTGCCTGAGCAACCACACGTCATATCCATACAAGCAGCACTGTTTGCAGCCTGATGTTTCAGCAGGTTTCTCCTAAGTTAGTATATTGATACAGAAATTAAATGAAACTATTTTCCCCACCTTCTGTGCAAAGCTGATTTTTACATTAGGTTATTTGGTAGCATGAGGACATGTAGCCATAGAAGTTTTATTATAAACAATATGCTTAGTTCCTCTCATTTCAGATTCTGAAAAGTAATCTATATATTCAAATAGTTTAAATTTGTTATAAAAAGCTAATACTGTTGCCCTGGTAGCCAGTTTGCCAACTTTATGAAGTTCAACAAGGCCAAGTGCAAGGTCCTGCACCTGGGTTGGGGCAATCCCAAGCACAAGTACAGGCTGGGTGGAGAGTGGATAGAGAGCAGCCCTGAGGAGAAGGACTTGGGGGTACTGGTGGATTCACTTTCTGATGAGTTAGCTTGAAACCCTTCTGGAAGGGACTGCACAGCCCTCTACGAGGCCAGCTGTGGGAGTTTGAGGAAAATACATAGTAGACATTTTAAAGCTAGGCCAAATTCTCTTTTCTGTCCTCCTTGTGATTCCTATTGATACTATGAGACTTGAGGACTAACAGGCAAAAGGAATTTGATCTAGTAATAGTTGTATCAACTGTGCAATGACTCATATAATAAATACATTATTTCATGGAGAAGTTTGCCTTGGTTGGTAGTGCAGCACACTTCAGCATGATTATTTCCAGAAAACACCTTATAAACATCAATTATTGGAGAAAAACAATATAGCACTATTCCTGTCATCCAGTGGTACTCACCAGCGCAATCAAATCCGTTTCCTCGGTAGCCCTGTTTACATTTGCATTTGAAGGACCCTTTGGTGTTGAGGCACTCTGCATGGAGGTTACACCTGTGTGTATTTGTCACACATTCATTTACATGGAAAGATATAAATGCTTCAGTGAAAACTGCATTGAAACTCAACCTTCATGACAGTCTGTTTGTGCCAGCCATCTGTTTCCAGGTATTGTAATCAGTACTGTTAGACCAAGACAGTCCAGAGACCATTGAAGGCAGAAGGGTTCAAACTAATGTCAGCTCCAACTGCACAACCACTGGTATACGCTTCAAGGAAAATGTAGAGCATCCCAGTAAAGACTAAGTGAACGTATCATACAATCATAGAATGGTTTGGTTTGGAAGGGACCTTAAAGACCATCCAGTTCCAACCCCCCTGCCATGGGCAGGGACACCTTCCACTAGACCAGGTTGCTCAAAGCCTGGTCCAGCCTGGCCTTGAAGACAGCCAGGGATGGGGCATCCACAACTGACTGAGAACAGGATTCAAACTACAGATTGTACACACTGTTCTATTAACTAAAAGCAAAAGACACCAAGAGAACATGTGACATCAATTAAAACAAACAAAAAAAATCACTAAATTGTTCTCATTCTTTAATCCCCTCTAGAAGAAATGCAGTAGAAAGTAACCCTGAGCATGCCAAGATGTTGAGAATTTCTATCTACCTTTAACATTCCAGCATACATATGATGCTTTATGAAAAAAAATATAATCAGGAACACATCAGTAGAAAACACTGTGTTCAACTGACAGCAGAATGTAGAGACATCAAGAGTAACTGACTTCGTCCTCCTTTTCCCTTATTCTGCTACATCACAAAGATGTTTCTGATTTCTTCCACATGAGGGAGCCAAGTCGTTACACAGATTTTTGCACCACTTTAATTTATCCAGACTGCTTCATTTTTAGCAGCTGACAGGCCCCCTCATAATGTAAGTCAGCTGGGAAGCAAGTAGTAGGAAGACTGACTTAAAAATATGGTATGTCTGAAAGTGAGATTCAGGTTTGCAGATAAAATCCTGACTACTGAGACCTCTCCAGTTTTTCCCCCATGCACACATGTGGTATGAAAAATTAAATATTTTTTTCACTTTAAGACTCTCGGGGTTTGCATACACAGGAAATGCAAGTTTCGGTCTCCAAAATCTGCCTTATGATTGCCCTCCCACCCCTAACTCCCAATCCCAAGCAAATATAAACAAAACCCATGAATTCTCTTTTGTATGCAGCTCTAGTAGTTCCAACCTTTCCAGGTCCTCATGTAGTCAACTGCCTGAACAATACTGCTGCAGTACCTGTTCAAATGGCTCTTTAATTACACCACGTACCAGAACTAGCACTTCTTTGTAGTCAACTGTACTAATGTACTACAGGTCCTTGCAGAACTTGACTTGGTTCCATGAGGCAATTACATTTGCTAGTGCCAGTGTGTGTTGGGTTTGTGGGGCAGGGTTTTGGTAGTGGGCTAGAGAGGGTACAGGGGTGGCTCCTGGGAGAAACCGCTAGAAGCTTTCCAGGCCTCCAGTCAGACTCGCCTCTGGCCAAGGCCGAACCAGCCAGCGCCTCTGTGATTAACATATTTAAGAGGGGAAAACAGAGAGACCTACAGCAGAAAGAGGAGTGGGATGTGGGAGACAGCCAGGCAGACACCCAGGTCAGTGCAGAACGGCGTGAGGAGGTGGCCAGAGCAGAGGTTCCCTGTCAGCCTGTGGTGAGAGGGGAGGCTGTGGCCCCGAC